AAAAACCCCCCAAAAAAAAAAAAAAAAAAAAAAAAAAAAAAAAAAAAAACGAAAAAAAAAAAAAAAAAAAAAAAAAAAAAAAAAAAAAGCACTTTCGAGGCAAATTCGAGGCCTCGAATTCGAGGCCTCTATCAGTGCTCATATATATATATATATATGGTGCACTTATGTGTAACTGGAGAGAGATTGTGATTGTGGAGAGAAGAGTCCAGTCAAATATCAGCTCAGCTCATCTCTTTGACGCGGTTTAAGGAACCTAAAATTCTCTCTGTTTTTGCGTAAAATAATATTTTCTCTCTCTTGTTTCTCGGGAAATGGAGCAGAAAAATCAGTGTTCGTTGCCTTCGTCTTCGACTCTCTTTTTACTTGCCTTCTTCTTCCTTGTGACCAGCCTCTCTGTCTCTGCATCTGCTTACTCTTTCATTTCAGGTACGCAAAACTCAATACTTATCTTTATATGACCTCGTTTGAAATGTGAGTTGGTTTTGACTTTTTAATTTTTTAATTATTTTAATTTGAATTAAAAAATTTTGTTTAATATAATTTTTCTTTTAACTTTTTTAATATTTATAAATATTTTATTTTATTAAACTAAAATAATCTATTTTAGTCCAAACTTTACTTGCCAAACTATATATATATATATCTATTGTAATAATAGTAATTTTTACATGTGGGTTTGCGTATTGCAGATGATATATTTGGGGGTAAATCTTTAATGGGTCGGAATCTTCTTCAAGCTAAGACAGGTGTTTTTTTTTCTTTCAATTATACTCTTTTTAATCCATTTCTTTAATGGCTATTTTTCATTTGAATTTTTGTTTTGTTTTGTTTTGTTTTGAGGGTTTATAATGCATGTATCTGCTGGATTTATGCTTAAAATTTCAGCAAAATATATGATGATTGAACATTAACATATGGTTAGATCAGATTCAGTAATAAATAAATAAATAAAAGAAAGATGAATTTATTTACTTTGAGTATATAGCCTTGATTAGCCAACCGCAATGTTTAGTTTGGTTGGATTCGATTCGATTGGGTTATTGTTATATCCAAAGAAATTATCAATATTGTCTTGAGCATTTTCATTTTCTGAGGCATCCAACCACAAAAATCCCCTATTTAGGGAGCTACAGCATACATGGATCTGTTTATGTCAATTTATTCAATACTTCTCTGATGGCAAATGGTTTCTGATATATTTCCTTCTTTTTTTTTTTTTTAATGAGGATGCTTTTGGGTTTTGGTAACTTGACTGTTTGTTTCCAGTTGGCTTTTGTACTGTCCAACCTCTTGGTGGGGATTCCATTCCAGTTACTCCTCCAAGGAAAACTGAAGGAGAAACAAGGGGAAAAAAAAAGAAGAAAAAGAAAAGGTTCTCATTAAGAATGACACTTCTGGTTAGAGTGGAGTCGAAGCATCAAGTATTTAGTTTGTTGGGGAATCAATATAGAGTTGCTTCGGATTTAGTTAGTTGAACTTGTTTCAAGTAGGGTGTTCACTTGTCAGTTTGGGTTGGGTTCACCCTTGGGCCGTCAACCAAACAGAACACTTCGTATTAGGGAATCAAACTGAGCCAAATTGTTGGTTTTGCAGTTGGTTTGATATACACATATGAAAAGCAATATTTCTCGGTCGGGTCAGGTTAATTGGTTGGGGTGTATTCAGATCCGAGACCCATCCGCCAATCCGAAAATATCTTGTCCTTACAATCGCTATTGACCGCTGCTGCTTTCAAATCCGACCATTCATTTCATTTTCGGGTCAGGTTGGGTCGGTTTGGACGAAAAGCCCTAGTTGCTAGTTAGCTTTCCAGTTACAAAGGGAGACTTCAGTGATGTGTATATATATCGAGCTTAGCTTATTTGAGAGAGATCAATTCAAATGAATGTAGTAGGTATGTGTGGGCTTTACAACATGACCATATGTTTTTAAAATTTTGTGCATAATTTTTAATTTTGTGGAATGTAGTAGGTCTGCAATCTTGGGGATTAAGGTTTTTGAGAGTAAAACACAAATGATTTTTTTTTTTTACTTTTTCTGGCAAGACATGTTAAGATGTCCTCTATCTTATCTTATACTGAAATTCACATGACAGCTTATATTGGAGTTGCTAATTACATTTTTTATGTACAAAATTTGGTGAATTTTCAATCTGACATCATGTGGCCTTCAATATATATACCATCTGCTTGTGGGATGATCATTGCTTGTTTTGGAGGTTTACACTAGTATTTAGGGAATGAAGTAATATGGAATTGAGTTGGAAATATAAAAAAACTTGAGGAGCACGATCTCTTCCATCACTCCAATGTTTAAGCAGTTTTCTAACTCACTGTTCCTTCAAAACTTTTACATATCAACTATAACTTGTTTCCAAACATTTTGGCAAAGCCAGTTATAGCATGCTGGTATAGTGCTGTCTTCTGGTATCGAAAATGGAGCGATGAGCAAAAGGGTTCAAATTTTACTTGTTTATTTATTTTTCTGGTGTGAAAACATTCTCAAGATTGTTTGACATGTCCTATATGTAGTGTTAGGTTTGTACCATAGGAGTCTGAACATTCTCATAAAACAACGCCCACGTAGTACACATTAATGTGTGTTTGGGAGGGTAAAGATTGAGTCCACAGCTAACCTTTGGCATAATACACAAAGTGGTGGTCCCAAGACTTGAACCCATAACCTCAAGGTTATTAGTCTTAACCATTGAACCAATGGTCACCCCTAGTCTGAACATTCTCATGCAAATGATAATTCCTTGGGTACATGCTTACATGTTAACACAACCACATGTTAATTATATGATACCTAGATCTCTAGCTTGAGTTTTTGAAGTTACTAGAACTAGGTTTTGATGGGAAATGGAAAGGAATTGATTGAAGAAATAGGATTAAATAATTAATTTTGATAATATTTTATATTTTGAGATTTATTTTATTTTTGAAAAGTTCTTTTGGTTGGGGTTTCTTGAATGCTTATAAATAGCTCAGCCTACTTGTAATATGTTTATGCAGCTTTGGGTTGATGAGATATTGAGTAGGCTGTGGCTGTTTGAGTTTAGGGTTGTGGCCCTTGTGATCTTCTGCGTTTATACTTATTCTACTTGTTATTTTTTGGATCAATTCTATGTATATTTTGGTTTTGTGATCAATTGAGTAGTTGAACAGATTTCTTAATAGCTGTTCGCCATCAGGTTGGTTCATTTTGGCTACTAACATATAGTAAAGAAAATTGTCGTCTCATTTTTAAAGTCGGGATCCCTAAAATAATTCTTGATGATATCTTTGCATCATGTTATTTGCAGCTTGCCCTGTAAACTTCGAGTTTTTGAACTACACCATCATCACCAGCCAGTGCAAAGGACCAATCAATTTTTACAATTTTTTATTACACATTTTTCCATAAAAAGTCAAAAAGTTAACCCAAACATTCATATTTTCAACCTCAACTTTTTAGTCTAAAAAGACAAAAAATGCACTTATTTAGTCTTCCCAAACTTGGCCTAAGAATGACACTTCTTGTTAGAGTGGAGTTGAAGCATCAAGTATTGAGTTAGTTGGGGAATCAATATAGAGTTACTTAGGATTTTGTACATGTTAGCAATTGTTAGTTAGCTGAACTTGTTTCAAGTTGTTGCAAGTAGGGGTGTTCACTTGTCAGGTTGGGTTGGGTTCACCCTTGGCCCGTCAACCAAACAGAACACTTTGTATTAGGGAATCATTCATTCAACACTCGACCGTCCTACTGTTCAAACGCAACTGAGCCAAATTGTTGGTTTTGCAGTCGGTTTGATATACACATATGAAAAGCAATATTTCTCGGTTGGGTCAGGTTAATTGGTTGGGGTGTATTCAGAACCGACACCCGTCCACCAATCCGAAAATATCTTGTTCTTACAATCGCTATTGACCTCTGCTGCTTTCAAATCAGACCTTTCATTTCATTTTTGGGTCAGGTTGGGTCGGTTTGGATGAACAGCTTGCTAGTTAGCTTTCCAGTTACAAAGGGAGACTTCAGTGATGTGTATATATATTGAGCTTAGCTTATTTGAGGGAGATCATTTCAAATGAATGTAGTAGGTATGTGTAGGGTTTGCCATACAACATGACCATATGTTTTTAAAATTCTGTTGTGCATAATTTTAAATTTTGTGGAATGTAGTAGGTATGCAATCTTGGGGATTAAGGTTTTTGCAAGTAAAATACAAATGAATGTTTTTTTTTTTACTTTTTCCAGCAAGACATGTTAAGATGTCCTCTATCTTATCTTGTACTGAAATTCACAAGACAGCTTTTATTGGAGTTGCTAATTACATTTTTTATGTTCAAAATTGGGTGAATTTTCAATCCGACATCATGTGGCCTTCAATATATATATCATCTGCTTGTGGGATGATCATTACTTGTTTTGAAGGTTTACACTAGCATTTAGGGATCAAAGTGTTAAAATCACGTGCATATTGCTGACTATTGTAGTTTAGGGAACGAAGTAATATGGAATTGATTTGCAAAAATAAAAAAACTTGAGGAATAAGATCTCTTCCATCACTCCAATGTTTAAGCAGTTTTCTAACTCGCTGTTCCTTCAAAACTTTTACATATCAACTATAACTGTTTCCAAACATTTTGACAAAGCCATTTATAGCATACTGGTATAGTGCTGTCTTCTGGTATAAAAAATGGAGAGATGAGCAAAAGGGTTCAAATTTTACTTGTTTATTTATTTTTCTGGTGTGAAAACATTCTCAAGATTGTTTGACATGTCCTATATGTTGTGTGAGGTTTGCACCATAGGAGTTTGAACATTCTCATGCAAATGATAATTCCTTGGGTACATGGTTACATGTTAATACAACCACATGTTAATTATATGACACCTTGATCTCTTGCTTGAGTTTTTGAAGTTACTAGAACTAGGTTTTGATGGGAAACGGAAAGGAATTGATTGAAGAAATAGGATTAAATAATTAATTTTGATAATATTTTATATTTTGAGATTTATTTTATTTTTGAAAAGTTCTTTTAGTTGGGGTTTCTTGAATCCTTATAAATAGCCCAGCCTACTTGTAATATGTTTATGCAGCTTTGGGTTGATGAGATATTGAGTAGGGTGTGGCTGTCTGAGCTTAGGGTTGTGGCCCTTGTGGTCTTCTTCTTTTATACTTATTCTACTTGTTATTTTTTGGATCAATTCTATGTATATTTTGGTTTTGTGATCAATTGAATAGTTGAACAGATTTCTTAATAGCTGTTCCCCCATCAGGTTCATTTTGGCTACTAACATATAGTAAAGAAAATTGTCGTCTCATTTTAAAAGTTGGGATCCCAAAAATAATTGTTGAATGATATCTTTGCATCATGTTATTTGCAGCTTGCCCTGTAAACTTCGAGTTTTTGAACTACACCATCATCACCAGCCAGTGCAAAGGACCGCAGTACGTGCCCAATAGCTGTTGTCCAGCTTTTAAAGAACTTGCTTGCCCTTATGTGGATTCGCTAAATGACTTGTCTAATAATTGCGTCGAAACCATGTTTAGTTACATCAACCTCTATGGGAACTACCCAGCTGGCCTTTTCGCGACTTTGTGCCAGGATGATAAACAAGGGCTTGCATGCCTTGCAACTGTACCTACACAATCGGCCTATTCCATAAGTGGAAGTCAGATTGTACGCAATCCGTCGCTGCTATCCATCCGTGCTGCTAGTGCTCACAATGGTCCTCCTAGTGGTGGTGTTATAATTGTTTTGATGGCATATACATTATTTTCTTGATATGTATACGTTGTTGTGCTTCGTTAACCTTGTTGAAATCACGGTTTCCAAACTCGGTTTTGGCCATGGTTTTTTTACATTTGCTAGGGTTCCTATTCTTTGATTTCACTATTGAGAAAATAGTATTGTTTGTATTGGTTTGTGCATTAATTGACCAGATGTTCTGGAAAAGACGAAATTCTTGGTCTTCTCCAAGATCTTTTAATTTAATATAGGCTTCCATTGATTATGTTATGGATCTGCTTGTTGAATGGCTTGCAAGTGTGTGGATAAATACAAATGAATAGATTGTTCTTGCACATTGGCCTAGGGGTGTAAGCAGGGTTGCGTTGGAGAGAAAATATCAACCAAACCAATCTAATCTTTGATGGAATGAAAAAATTTCACTTGGTAGCCAGCTCAAAAAATTGATTATTCATTTTTAAATTCTGAAGCAAAACTTATGAAATTAATTGAATACAGATTATTATATTTTATAAATTAATATACGAAACCTGAAGTCCCTAACTCTATTTAGGTTCATTGGTGCGACTTCACTTCGACAATTAAGATGAATCAAACCAAGACAATGGATGTTGGGCTTCGCCAGTCCGAACCTCAAATTTTAGGGTTGGATCGGGCTGTTTTTTAGGCGTACAGGTAGTCTACTTATTGACCAGCGTGATCGACAAAGAGAAAAGGAAAGGAAAGAACGGTAATGATCCATCCCACTAAAAGTGGTGCTCTAAAGTACCACTAATGAGTTGGCAAGCACTTTAAATTAAAAAAAAAAAAAAAAACAAGACACAAGCAGTGCGCCGTCCACTGCCACATCACTAGTGGTGCTTTTAGAGCACCACTTTTAGTGGTCTCAAGCATTATTGTTATGTAAAATATATATTTCCAACGCGCCTCTCTCTTTATTTTCAGCGTTTCTCCCCCTCCCTCTCTTTTCTCCTCTTCCATCACCCACGGAAGCTCGGTTGGAGAGCAAATCAGAGTCCAATCCCTCTCCCAAAACGGTAAACCCCATGTCCCCCCATAGTACATCCAACTTCCACAGTACGAACCATGGTGTTCTGATCTAATTGCTGAACGAGATGAGGAGAGTCAGTGTGTTGCTCTTTGAGGAGTGTCCAATGGTTGAGAAGCTCAAGTACTCTTACGATTCCAATTTGTTTGCTTTTGAAGGCTATGGAAGCCGTATGTTGGTTTGAAGTTTGGTTGTTTGATTTGAAGTTTTGTTCTTTGATTGCTTCTTGTATATGGAATAATTAAGAATTTATTATATCTTTTTCTGTGTTTTGTTTCTTTTGGGTTTTTCATGAGATGTGATTTTGAAGACTATATGTTTGTGTTATGTCTCAAGTTAGAGTAATGATGATCTTGCTTTTGAAATGGTACTGAAAATTTTATATGGATGGTCCAACATGAAAGAGGAATTTCAATAGTTACAAGGGTCAGTGTATTATATCCATGTATTGGTGTTCCCCTCTATGAAAGAGGCAATGAATTTCGTAGAATATGACTGCCATTTATGCAACTCCGAGCAGTGATGCCTATAAAAATAAATAAATAACAATAACAACTAATACTTGAGTTTCTTTGCAGAATTATTTGTTTGCTTAGCTTGATGATTGTATCAGCTACCTTTTCTTGTTTTTTGTTGTATCAGCTAATGTCTGGTGATGTGTGGTTGTATTAACTACTTATTTTTTAGATTTGACCACCTGTGATCTTTTGTCCTCTTTATTTAATTTATTTATACTATTGGTTTTTTTTTGACAAGTATTTTTCTATCTCCTTGGGATTTTTATTTTCTAGAAGATCAATGGAAGAAGTTATTTGGCTATAGCATCAACTTTAGAATCATCTGAGCATAAGTTTAAATGCTTGTAGAATTCCCTGAGGCCGTGGGAGCCACAAGAAGTTTAAAGAAGCTTCCAAAGTGAGTGCTCAAGTAATTTTTCTACCTGAAAGACTTAGATTCTCCTCTTTCTTATTCAAATAATTGGCTATAATACTCCATACTCTTTCTTTTCTCTGAAACATTGTTCTTTTAATGAATGCGGCTCTAGGGTGATTATGGTGTTTAAATTTTGGTTCTGTCTGGTATAAATTTTGAAATCACTGCTGTAACTATAGCACACATACAGTATAATGGTTGATGATGTTACGTCTTTCAAACTTAATAAAATATGTGCATAAATTTTCTTTTGTTTCCATAGAACTTGTCGAACTATTTAGTTGACTATACATATCTATATCTACAAATTATCAGAAAATTTGCTTTATGCATCTTTCAAATTTGAGGTGCTATTGTAAAGAGGCTAGGATATCTATAAGATTAAGTGTTGTATAAGATGAAGGAGTAGTGTTTGAAAATAAACTATTTAAGCATCTTCTTTCCAATTTTTCAGAACTCAAGTAATTAGCATTCTTTTGCTTATCTTACTGTCCATTTGTTACTCTTGGTGGTGGTTCACGTTTTTTATTCAAAGTTTATGTTCATCTTTGTGTCACCAGATTCCTTCTTAATCTTTTTCCACATTTGGAAAACAATGAAAAGTACATGAGAACGATGCTTAAGAAAATTCTATTAGATGAGAAATTAACATGTACATGAGAACAATGAAAAGTTGCCTGAATTTTGCAAATTCTATGAGAAGTCTCACAAGTTGAAGAAGATGAATGACTGGATTGATTCCCGATGCGGTGACCTACATGTAAGAATTTAACAATAGATTAATTGTATGTAATAATAGTTAATACAATTGTTTATCTTATTCTGGTTTTTAAATTTTTTTTTTAAATTTTTACGATGACAGAATGAGATGTTTATCTTATTTTGGATTTGGGATCAGTCCATGACTCTCTTCTACCATATTCGAACCTACATCAAGAGCACATGGTAAGGAGATGGAGACCCTGAGATTGGAGATCCAAAACATGTACACCTGATATGTTTTGTTATTAAGATTTTATTTAATTTGGATTATAATTATTGGTTTGGATAGTTTGTGTATTTGTTGGATTATACTATGTTTATGGATTCTTATTTTCTTTAATATGTACGGTTAATAGTTAAGTTTTGTATATGGTTGGAAATTAAATGCTACAGGTTGTGGAGAAAGGAAATTATAAAAACTAAATGAGACATTTTGGTGACTAAACGAATATCATAAGTTGGCTTTTGGCTACTAAAACTTTAGTCGCCAATTGTAAAAAAGTAAAACTTTTGGCTACTAAACTTTTAGTCGCCAATTGTAAAAAAGAAACTTTTGGTTACTAAATTTTTAATTGTCAATTCTCAAAAAGTAAAACTTTTGGCATCAAATAGTTAGTCACCAAACATACATGCTCAATTGACTACTAAATAATTTAGTCACTAAAAGTAAATATATATATATATATATATAGTGATTTGTAAAAAAATATGGCGACTAAAACAACTAAATAATTTAGTCACTAAAAGTAAATATATATATAGTGATTTGTAAAAAAATATGGCGACTAAAGTTTTAGTCGCCAATAGGTCACTTTTGGCTACCAAAAAAATAATAGTCGCAGATTGTCTTCCTTGACGAACTATTGGCGATCAAACGGGCGACCAAATATATTAGTTGACAAAAGTGATTGGTGACTAAAATAAGGCTTTTGGCGACTAAAATTTTAGTCGCCAAAAGTGAAATTTCTTGTAATGACATTTTAGTAGTTCTCTAAAATTGAATAGGGATGGTCATTTCCTCTCGTCCTATCCCAGCTCCGCATTTCCCACCCTACTCTATACAGATTTTTCCCTTTTCAATGAGGACGTATGGTGAGGATAGGTTTTGCTTCCCCTCACGTTCTAACTCGCCTAGGGGTGGACAAATGTCGGGTTGGGCCGACATTACATAATAAGGGACTTTGTGTTTGTTGTGTTGGAAAATATTTTCGATAAAATTAATTAATAGCGAATAATAAATAAAATAAAACAAACTTACAATTTTTCGAAGATCAAACTATTGAACGAAGTTGTGATTAAGACCAGTGTACGGACATTGTGTCTTTAAGTCAGAATAACACCCTATCTATTGGTGCACGAGATTAATAGGCGTCTTGCCTGCAGGATATAACAATCACCACACACAGAATTCGCACTAACTCTATGTGTACAACGAACCAGAGTATGTGCTTTACACTCTCTCAAACTTAAACTCTACAAAATATAAAAAGGCAGGATGAACAGAGGAAGAAGAAACTAGAAGTCTGAATTTTCTTTTACTATACCAAAACCTGGATGAAGCTGCCTTAATATAGGCAATGGAAAAACCTCTTTGGAAGAGACATGTTTGTTGAAAATTTGAATATGAAATTCAAATCTATTGGGTCGTTGCAAAATTTTGAATATGAATTTCAAAATTTTTGTTTCCCAGCAAACAATTGAAACTACTTTCAAATAATTTTGGCCTAAGAAGATAGTAACGGGCCGACCCAACCCAACCTAACCCAACTCACACTTTGGGTGTCCTTTGGGCCCATGGAAGCATTTTCTTACATGGAAGCATTCTGATTTTTTGTAAGCATTCTCTTACATATAAGAGAATGATTCCATGCACTCGCCTTGTCCAACTCAACTGCAACAATTGCTTGCCGATCAATTTCATCCTTACTCAAGGCGGGTGCATTCTCTTTGACAAATCTTGCCAAATTCAGAGTTGTAAGATAAAACGGCATTTTCTGCTACCATTTTTTAAACTTTGTCTCATTAAATGTTTTTGGCTTTTCATTGTGGTTAACCGGGACAGTGGTGGGAAGTGAAATAACCATAGGAGTAGAATAGGAACCACAACATATGCAGATGTTGGGTTTGTATTTCCAGTAGTGTTTATAGTCTCAGTTGCCATTTAGACTTTCTGATTAAAATAAAATAATAAAAACAAATCTTTTCACAATAAATAAAATATAATTTCTCAATAACTAACTCAAATTAGATATTAAATAACAAAGTTCAAAAAACTAGTAGCCAATATAAAAGACAAAATAGTAGTGATGCATGTAGAACACACAACAAACTATATATATATACACGTTTTGTTTAACAAACACACGGAGGCATAGTAGAACAAAGCATAAAAATAAATAACAAGATGGTGGTCTTGTTTTATTTATATATGTATTAATTATTTATGGGATTTTTATTGATAAATCCAATTTAGAAGTGTTTTAACCCAAGAAGTCCATGAAGAAATTTTTTAACTCATTTAATCTCA